ATCTGCATCCTGTGCCAGTCACTCTAGATGCAGCTTTGCTAATCATCAATATCTTTATTTATCATACATCATTAAAAAAATATTTACACATTTTTTTATTACTATACCTTCGACTTCGTCTATGTAATGACTAAATCTTGTTCTACAAAGTGGACATTTCTTTTCATTTCTACCTACTAGTATATCAGCACAATTATTACATAAAGAGTGGAGACACTTGTTCAAAAGAACAGATAATTGGTCATTTTTCAAGCAAATCGGACATTCTTCTGTTCCATCTAAAAATGGTTACTTATATCAAATGTTTTTTATCGATTTTTTAAATAAATATTTATTTTACATACGAAATACCATATAAAATTATTAAAAGATATGAATGGCTATATTATTTTTAAAAAGTGCTACTTTTTATAACTATTGGTACTTTTTAAAACTTACCTTTTTCATATGGTGAAACTAAAATAAATAAACAATTTATCAGCAATTTCGTTGTTGTCTTAAGATAATTTCATTAATTAATTATAATGTAAATGTATTTATATATTTAAAACTACAAATTTAGCTTACATCACACATGATTTATTTATTAATTTTTACTTATTTCACAGGAAAAAAGATCAATAATAAAATAATTGAAATTTATTAGAATTTTTTATTATTTTAAGATTATTTAAATAATTAATTATAGTGTTAAAATATTTAGACATTAATAATGAGGTCATAAAATGAATAATTTATTCACTATATAACATTTTTTTTTTTCATTATAAAGTATATTACATTAGCTTTAATTTAAGATATATATAAAAGTGTCAGTATTTTCAGAACACTTTCAAAAGTTAAAGTTGAAAAATTTGTTATTTTGACAACTGTGGGCTGGTAAAAGGTAACATTTATAAAAGAAATATACCTAATGAAAAGTAAAGACATTATGCATCTATAAAAAAATTACATTGATTAGTTCATTTTTGAAAAAGTTATGGCAGATTTAATTTAAAAATTTTTTGAAATTTAGCCATTTTCAAATTTGTAAATTTTATGGAAATTTCCCCTATTTATGATTTTTGAGGCTAATGCCTTTGACTAGATACAATTTGTGATCTTTTGAGGTATTGTTGAAAGAAATTGGTTTGGTTGAAAAAAAAAAATCATATTAAAATTAATATATTCTCAGCATCGGATCGAAGCTAAAATGCATATAGAAAGAAGAATTTTTTGAACTTAACTTTTGAAAATGTTCCAGAAATACTGACACTTTTATATATATCTTTAATTAAAACTAATGTAATGTACTTTATAATGAAAAAAACAAATATCGGACTTTATTTTGTCTTTATGGTGAAAACAGACTTTACAATTATTAAAAAAAAATATGATTTTTTAAAAAAAATTCTTTTTTATATTTTTAACATGTGCTATAAATTTTTGAAAAATAAATGGATCAATATGATTTTTTTATGATAAATATTATTTATATACCTCTTTCTTTCTTTCAATGGTTTTAAGAAAACCATTTCCTTTTATTTATTTCCCTTTACATATTATATGTATATTATATATATTGTGACGTAAAATATTGACCTATCATTATTAGTATTATTTAACACGATAAGTTAATTAAATTAGTAATTGGTGAACATCATTTAATTAAGTGTAACTGTTCATCAATTAGTAATGCGGTGTTATTGTCTAAGTGGTGTTAAATTCGTGGTGAATCAAAACTATTTTTGATTGTTAGAATTCGGTAATAACGTAATTAAATAGTCCTAAATAATTATAGTTGCACATTCCTTTTTATATTTTTCTTGTTGTACAATCGCTATCAATCGTTCATAACAAATTATCATTATGATAATTAAACGCCCAGCTGACCACTACAATACTGTCAATAATTCAACCGGTCCCAGGTGTTTGTCAACTACGCATACACTGATATCGCCGTTGTTTCCCCTTCTGGTTCATGTGTGTCGTCGCCTTCAAGTCGTTTTTGACCAGGGGGTCTATTTTTGAATTTTATATTGGTGTACTAATGTGTTTAGTATGTTTAAACACGACGTTTTAGTGCAACTATTAGTGTGTTACTAAAAAACCGTATTTTTGAATGTTAATATGCCAACAAATATATATTAGTGTAATAAAGTTTTAGATGAACTTTTTAGAGTAGGTATCTACCACACTAATCATGATTTTAGTAAACTAATTACTATTATCATTCATTTTCTTATTGAAACGTTTAACTTTGGTGTATTTATATCGTTCTCAAATTAATTTAATAATACAAAAATTTCCTAAATTTTTAGAGATCTATTTTGTCAACTGAGGAGCTGAGTCTTCTAGCTTTCTAGTTACATCAATGTCTACTAATTTTTCAACCCAACCGATTTCTTTCAACATTACCTCAAAAGATCACAAATTGTATCTTGTCAAAGACATGAGCCTCAAAAATTGAAAAAATTTCTCTACTTTATCATAAATAGGGGAAATTTCCATAAAATTTACAAATTTAAAAATGGCTAAATTTCAAAAAAATTTTAAATTAAATCTGCCATAACTTTTTCAAAAATGAACAAATCAATGTCATTTTTTTTATAGATGCATAATGTCTTTACTTATAATTAGGTTTATTTCTTTTATAAATGTTACCTTTTAACATCCCACAGGGGGTTTCAAAATGACAACTTTTTCAACTTAACTTTTGAAAATATTCCGGAAAGTCTGACACTTTTATATATATCTTAAATTAAAGCTAATGTAATATACTTTATCATGGAAAAAACAAATTTCGGACATTATTTTATCTTCACGGTGAAAATGGGTTTTATATCAAGTCATTCAATTTTTACACATGTTCGCCATCAAACTTCTTTTCTAATTTTTTTTAAATTCTCCGAAAATATTACAATACTAAATTATTCAATATCAATCTCATACTATAATAAATTTCTATAATAAACATTTATTCATACAATACTTATTAATCATAGAACATCTAATTAGGAATAATGAAGGATATAGAAGTCACTTTTGCTTTAGGACTAATCCATTATTTTTTTAAAATTAAACCTTATCTACAGATTTGCATTCGAAACGTTTTTTATGATAGTGATTTTAAGAACTGACAGATATCATTATACTTGATCCAACTATGTCACTTCCCCACTGAGCCAGGTCCCCACTGTGCTGAGTTTTTTGTTTATATAGATTTTTTAGTCGATAATTGTATAATGAAATAAAAAAAATACGAGGTATTTATGTTATTTTTATGCACTCTGTAATAATAAAGTAATTAGAGTGTATTTTATTTAAGTAAAAAATTTAAAATAAATTTTAATATTCAATATTAAAATTAATATTTTATTGTTATCTAATCCTTATGTAATTTTCGAGCTATAATATGTTCATCATAAAAACTAATAAAAAAAATAAAAAAATATTTTATTCTAAAATATTAATTTTGAAAATTTTAGCACTACCCATTTTCTTTATCTTTAGATATTTTCTATACTTGCTTTTCCTGTTTAAGTTTAAAATCATAGATATATTCTGATCTAAATACTCAAATATTGTACCAACCGGTTTTTTCCTTGTTCTATTATATAATAAGATACATAAGATAAATGTGAATTTTTCCATTAATATCTTTTATAAATGATTAAAGATGATCATAAATATTATCTTGTTTAAAAAAAAATTATTGAAATCATGTCAGAAAGAAATTCTGAATATCATTCTTTTTTTGTAGATAATTAAGTAGTTTACAAAATTACAGAAATTATCCTTAAATGTCAATAAAACATACCTGGATTTTCAAATATTATATGATGATTTAGATAATCATTAAATGATTCTTCATCAGCAAAAAGATTTTTAATGTCATCATTTGTTTTTATGCTCTAGTTATATCATGTATAAAACAATTAAATTTATTAGTAATAATTGTGTTAAATGATACATTTTAACTTACTAAACAAATATTTTTTTGTAGTTTTTTTAGATATTTTGAATCTCCACATATTAGTTCAGAAAATACTTTATATAATTCTTCTGTATCGTAATTTTGACATAAAACTGACTGAAATTTCTTATGTTGTATAAACGTAAATCCCAAACTTTCACATTTGTTTCTTTTCCAATCTTCATCAACTGGATTGAATTTAAATTTAAAATTTAGACATTTTCCGTTAGTTTTCAAATATGTACACTTTTCAACATCTGATAAATGATATATTATCTGTAAATGTAAAAAATTTCTCAACATGATTATTTTAAAATAACCGCTAAAGAACAATCAATCAATTATAAAAATTCTTAAAAGACTTTATGGACTTGACCCATAGGTTCGTTAACAGGCAGGGCTTCGGGTTGACGGTGAGCCTAAACTTCGAAACGTGTTCATCTACGTGCGATGGTTGCACATCCTCGGAACGCTGGACGCGTTTCGGGAACCTCCGTATCTCGGACGCAGCCACGACACCCGGTACAGGAGGACGCTAGTTTAGACCGGCGCCTAAAGTAGTCGTGTTTTATGTTTTTATGTGTCGTGAAATACCAGGCGTTCCTCAAAAAGTTCTGATTCAACCTCCACGCGGTGCAACTTGGACAACGGATCCCACTAACAGTTCTTAATTAGTTTCGGGCTAATTCACATCGTGGTGATATGAGACGGTGTTGGCCGCCCTGAAGTAATGCCTCATGGCAGTCCACATTCATGCAGTTTGTGGAGAAAAAACGATAGCACAGTGGGGTCGAGGCACAGGGTGGATGTAGTAAGTATAAATAATATCTGGCAATGATTAAAATCACTATCATAAACGCTTCGGTGCAAAATTGTAGATAGTCTTTAATTCTAAGAAATTGGTGGATAATTACAAAAGCAACATCAACTTCTATTTCCTTAATTATATCCAGATTAGTAATTCTTAGATTCAAAAATATAATATACATTTTTTATAATGAATTGTTTACGAATTATTATTGATTTTGATTTTTAATATGTTAAAAGTAATCATTTTTAGCTTACTTTTTTTGTAAAAGTTGATATTAAAAAAATAAATTTTTTTAAACCATAATATTTAATTAACTTTTAAGTTTGAATTTGACATCATTAAATAGAAAAAATGGTATTTTTAATATTAATATGTATTCAGGAAATTTTATAATTACTATTTATAATAAATTTCTCAGTATATCACAATAGTTTTTTGCATTTATATCGTAATAGATCACTTAAATAGAAATCATATTAATAATTTCTAATTAACTTTTGTTGTCTAAAAGGATTCTACAATGGAAGGAAATATACAGAACTTAATTAATTTTATTGATTTACTTTAACTAAAAAAAACCAATGAAAAAAAAGATTGAATGTATTATAAAATTTGATTATAATTGTAAAAATCCATTGTTAAATTGAGGTCATTCTTTTTTAGATTTATGATTTATTAAATTGGAATATTATAGAATGGTAGTGCAAATTATCATTGTGATAATAAAACGCCCAGCTGATCACTACAATACTGTCAATCATTCAACCGGTCCCAGGTGTTTGTCAACTACGCATACACTGATGTCGCCGTTGTGTCCTTTTCCGGTTCATGTGTGTCGTCGCACACAATATTTATTTAAATTAACACACAATTATAATTGTGATTATATGATTTTGTCTCTTCAGCCATCGTCAGTCACTCTCATTTTTCATTTTATACATTTACAATATCATGACTGCCTAATTCTTACTTTTGACCCTGGGGGTCAACTTTTGAAAAGTTTCATGAATTTTATCATATTAGTTACTGCAAAAAATTCTCACGAAAAATTGATTAGTAATTTTAAATTTTAAAATTGTCTAGTAGACATTGGTATAACTAGGAAGCTAGAAGACTCAACTTCTCAGTTGACAAAATAGATCTCTAAAAATTTTGGAAATTGTGTAGAAATAATGTATATAGTTATTTTAAAATATTTTTAGCCCTTATGAATTTAGTTAATTAATTAAATTTAGTAGATCTTTTATTAGTTTAAATTTGTGTACAAATGCCCTTTTAAACAAAACTACAGAAAATAACATTTTATTAATGTAACTAGAAAATATATGTACATTACCATATTGTAATTAGTTTATTGACATACCAAAGAACAGATATACCGCTATATTTAATTTCATATTTGTGTGGTCATTATCTTGACCATTTTCAATAATTTATAGATATACATATATTAAGATATTCTATTTTTGTATTATTAAATTAATCTGAGAACGTTATAAATACTAATTAATTATAGTATACTAATTAATGATAACATTAATTAGTATACTAAAAACATGATTAGTGTGGTAGATACCCACTCTAAAATGTCCATTTAAAACTTTAGTACATTAATATATATTTTTTGGCATAACAACATTCAAAAATACGGTTTTTTAGTTTCACACTAATAGTTGCACTAAAACGTCGTGTTTTAGCATACTAAATAGATTTTTAGTCGATAATTTTATAATCAAATTTTTAATTCGGAAATGAAAAAATACAAGGTATTTATGTTATTTTTATTCACTCTATAATAATAAAGTAATTAGAGTGAATTTTATTTAAGTAAAAAATTAAAAATAAATTTCAATATTTAATATTAAAATTAATATTTTTTTCTTATCTAATCCTTATGTAATTTTCAAGCTAAAATATGTTCATCATAAAAACTAATAAAAAAAATATATTTTATTCTAAAATATTAATTTTGAAAATTTTAGCACTACCCATTTTTTTATCTTTAGATATTTTCTATATGTGCTTTTCCTGTTTAAGTATAAAAGCATAGGTATATTCTGATCTAAATACTCAAATATTGTATCAATCGGTTTTTTGCTTAGTTAAATTATTTTACAACTAGACTCCGCCTAGATATGACTTTGCCCCAGTTACGAAGATCTACGAAGGCGCGTAAGCCTCTTCTGGCCGTCATAATAATTATGCCACTGATTCCGGTAGGGGTACCCGGCTACGCCGAGCACGATAAGTGTTATGTAGAAAAAATATTACATCAAAATCAGTGTAACAAAAATATATTAAAAATGTAATTATTAAAATCATGAAAATTAAAAAAGAGAATATAGTAAAATATATTGGGTATAAGGTTGACGTTTGTTAATGAGGTATTCCTTTAGGCTTATTCAAAAATTATTTTAGGAGGGTATTTAATATTTAAACATGTTATAGAATTTTTTTTGCTAAAAATCAATATAATTAAGAAAAAAAGAACATTAGGTCCTTATTTATCAGAAGTTAAGTTAAGTCCCTTAAATACACCACTGGTATACACAAAAATTATTAATATTCTAATTATAATAATTGTGTTTAAATTATAAAATAATTACAAAATAATTTAGCAGGTTATTATACGTGAGACTATGTGAAAAATTTAATTTTGATAAAAATAATGGTAACTGCGTTTTAACATTGGACAGTATAGTTGTCATAGATAAATTCCAATTTAAACAATAAACTAATAGACTCATATATCATATATGAGAAAAAAAACATTATTAATAATGTAATGTTCTGATAAACATAAACTGATAAAGTAGAAACTTATATAATTATAACCGTCTTAAAAATTATATGAAACATATAATATTTCTCGATAAAATATAGTGCTATGTGCAAATACAAAATAGTGTCCTAATAAAAATACCTATTACACCATATAATTAAGATTCCGAATAATCGTATGAGCAGAAATGAGTCAATGTGCATATTAAAACCATGCGTGTGGACTTAAAAAAATAAAAAAAAAATTTGGAAATCCGAGTACGCTAAGTAATTTTTCCAGAAAAGCGTCTTTTCCTTGTTCTATTATATAATAAGAAAATATAATAGGTCGCGTACATGTGTATTATTAGCATACGGAAAAATCGTCATTTTCTGTTAAAATTTCATGAATTTCAAACTCTCGTAGCGGTCAGAATTTTGGTCGGATATCGGATTTTCCAATTTTTGCGCTCCCTCAAAAAAAATGGCGCTTCCTCGGCACATACAGAAAGCCGTGGTATGATTGCGAATCGTAAAAAAAATCATTATCATGTCATAAATTGTCGCAAGAATTTCGGGCGGGGAGCCATGGCATATCGAGCGCATGAAAAAAAAGGTCGCTAAACGGTGAAAAATAAACGGATTGAATTGATTTTTTCATTATATTTCAGAAATGTCATTGAGCGGGTCTGATAAAAATTTCAAACCTTAAGTCGTAAAACGCATGAGTGAGTTTTTCTCGAAAACGGTTGAAATTTTAAAACNTGGCATGAGTGAGTTTTTCTCGAAAACAGTTGAAATTTTAAAACGCTCGTGGGGTCGCGGCAAAAATTTGTTTTTATGATAGTGATTTTAAGAACTGACAGATATCATTATACTTTTTATAATTGTATAATGAAATAAAAAAGATACGAGGTATTTATGTTATTTTTATGCACTCTGTAATAATAAAGTAATTAGAGTGTATTTTATTTAAGTAAAAAATTTAAAATAAATTTTAATATTCAATATTAAAATTAATATTTTATTGTTATCTAATCCTTATGTAATTTTCGAGCTATAATATGTTCATCATAAAAACTAATAAAAAAAATAATATATATATTTTATTCTAAAATATTAACTTTGAAAATTTTAGCACTACCCATTTTCTTTATCTTTAGATATTTTCTATATGTGCTTTTCCTGTTTATGTATAAAAGCATAGGTATATTCTGATCTAAATACTCAAATATTGTACTAACCGGTTTTTTCTTAGTTAAATTATTTTATAATACATAGATAAATGTGAATTTTTCCATTAATATCTTTTATAAATGATTAAAGATGATCATAAATATTATCTTGTTTAAAAAAAAATTATTGAAATCATGTCAGAAAGAAATTCTGAATATCATTCTTTTTTTGTAGATAATTAAGTAGTTTACAAAATTACAGAAATTATCCTTAAATGTCAATAAAACATACCTGGATTTTCAAATATTATATGATGATTTAGATAATCATTAAATGATTCTTCATCAGCAAAAAGATTTTTAATGTCATCATTTGTTTTTATGCTCTAGTTATATCATGTATAAAACAATTAAATTTATTAGTAATAATTGTGTTAAATGATACATTTTAACTTACTAAACAAATATTTTTTTGTAGTTTTTTTAGATATTTTGAATCTCCACATATTAGTTCAGAAAATACTTTATATAATTCTTCTGTATCGTAATTTTGACATAAAACTGACTGAAATTTCTTATGTTGTATAAACGTAAATCCCAAACTTTCACATTTGTTTCTTTTCCAATCTTCATCAACTGGATTGAATTTAAATTTAAAATTTAGACATTTTCCGTTAGTTTTCAAATATGTACACTTTTCAACATCTGATAAATGATATATTATCTGTAAATGTAAAAAATTTCTCAACATGATTATTTTAAAATAACCGCTAAAGAACAATCAATCAATTATAAAAATTCTTAAAAGACTTTATGGACTTGACCCATAGGTTCGTTAACAGGCAGGGCTTCGGGTTGACGGTGAGCCTAAACTTCGAAACGTGTTCATCTACGTGCGATGGTTGCACATCCTCGGAACGCTGGACGCGTTTCGGGAACCTCCGTATCTCGGACGCAGCCACGACACCCGGTACAGGAGGACGCTAGTTTAGACCGGCGCCTAAAGTAGTCGTGTTTTATGTTTTTATGTGTCGTGAAATACCAGGCGTTCCTCAAAAAGTTCTGATTCAACCTCCACGCGGTGCAACTTGGACAACGGATCCCACTAACAGTTCTTAATTAGTTTCGGGCTAATTCACATCGTGGTGATATGAGACGGTGTTGGCCGCCCTGAAGTAATGCCTCATGGCAGTCCACATTCATGCAGTTTGTGGAGAAAAAACGATAGCACAGTGGGGTCGAGGCACAGGGTGGATGTAGTAAGTATAAATAATATCTGGCAATGATTAAAATCACTATCATAAACGCTTCGGTGCAAAATTGTAGATAGTCTTTAATTCTAAGAAATTGGTGGATAATTACAAAAGCAACATCAACTTCTATTTCCTTAATTATATCCAGATTAGTAATTCTTAGATTCAAAAATATAATATACATTTTTTATAATGAATTGTTTACGAATTATTATTGATTTTGATTTTTAATATGTTAAAAGTAATCATTTTTAGCTTACTTTTTTTGTAAAAGTTGATATTAAAAAAA